TAGCGATTGTAATTTGCCGAGATTATCTCCTGCGCGTTTATGGTGGACCAGAAATACATAACTTCCTTTGATTTAGTCGCAATGAGATCAGATTGGTAAGGTGATGTAAAGGGAAAATGGATGATAGTAGCATCTGGTGATAGCAAATTGTAGGAGCTATAGAGATCAAGTAGTCAGTCAGGTCAGCTTCTTGATGGGTAGGGATAGGCAGCATAAGATGTATGGAGCATACGTCAACTAAGCTGAACCCCGCCCTAGGATGTGCACCGGAAAAGGACGGTATCGACAGGGCACATCATTGATTGGGATCTGGCCAAGTCCGTACGACCACCCCCTTTTTCAGGGGTTGCTACGACCCCCCCCCCTTGGCCCTCGCCCTCCTCATCGAGCTGTCGAGCGGGTGGGGGGAGGTATATAGTACACATGAAAAAGGCAGGAAAATCACGAAAGGATCTCCCAGAAGGCCACAAAGCAACCGACAACCCACGGCCCCCTCCTTTGGTTACGGGGCAGATGTCAACCAGACGATCTCTCGCTGCGAGGGTCCAGGGCTAATTTCACGGGGCATCTACCAGTCCAGCAGTTGAAGGGGAAGGTAAAGGAGGAGGGATCAGAGAAGGAAGGAAGAAAAAGAAGGAAGGAGGGAGAAAAAAGGAAGGAGGGGAGAAGCTTTCCGGTTGACATGTGCCCTGAGACGCCCTGCTTTACAACGTCCGTGAAGCGAGAAAAATCAACTATCAAAATAAATTTTTCTCAGCCCAAATACGACCCCCTCTCCTGGCGACCAAATACGACCCCCCCCCCCGCTGTTGGAGATTTTTCCAACAACGATGTGCCCTGGGTATCGAGCACAGAAGTTTATAATTTGACTGCGAGATCGCGAGACACTTCGGAGGCCTTGAATGAGTGGACAAAGGTCAACAGTAGGTAAGCGCACTAAACGAAGTAGGTACCCCTCAATGGACGAGCTCACTCTAGATTGGTCGTGGTTGCTGCGAAAATTCTATGCTCCATTTTGTGACTGTGGAGAAAATCGGAGGGGAGCAAGGGGAGCTACGTGCGTCAGAGATGTGCTGAGGCCTGCCCTCGAGTGAGCGGAATGTGCCCTTAGAAGTGCCCTCCACTATAAGCTGAGATGTCCTTCTCCCTCCACAACCAGGTAGCTTGATCCGCAGTGAAGTAGTTGCGCCACATCCGCGGTGGCGAGTGGGAAGGTACCCATCCAGTCATTCCTCTTACAGGTCCGACTCAGCACACCACCACATTGTTTTCAATAAAAAAATCAGCTGGAATTTGTCCCTGCGACTACACCCAATCGCACCTGCATTGTCCGGTGATCTCGCCCCATCACCCATCACACGCTTTCTCCGATATCATGGCAAACTTACGTGAAGAGTGTCCTATCTGTAGCATCTTCAACTTTTTTCTGCTTTTTCCCATACTGAGTTACCATGGCAGCCCTATCGCAGTCCATTTTTATCCATGATTTCTCAACGCGGGCTCTGTGTTTCATAGAGTGTACTGATCAAAACTTTGTAATTTGATTTCAGACTAGCTCGGGATCAAAGGTGGATCGAGGCCAGCAGGGAGCAGCCGGAAAAGATGAAGTAGTATGTCAAGTGTGGGCAGGGCGCGTAGGTGCGGAGCGAAAGTGGAAGTATTCGCTAGTACTTCAGGGACAGCAAGGATGTATTGGATGTACAGTGTATCTGCGAACAAAATGAGGGAGCGTGACTTGCATTTGCGGGAGCATGGTCGAATGTGGGTAGGAATGTCGAATTCGTAAATCAGTTCCGGTGCACTCCAAAGACCCGGAAAAAGTTGGACTGGGTGTGTAGGGAACTGGGGAACGCTGGAAGACACACCCACAGTGGGCGGAACGTGTGCCGAGATAGCAGGCTAACATTGAGAACTGCAATTCGATGGGCAGCAGTCGAGAGCAGGATTAAGCGTGTGCAGCCGAATCCGCAACGCGATGCCGTATGTGACCTGCCGGTAGAGATGAGAGGTGGTATGTGCAGGAGTCAATAGCGAATAAATCAGTGGCAAGGATAGAGGAACACTGCCCTCGTCTTTGTACCTCGCCGTGAAGTGCAGTATTTCCATCGAATTGGCAGTTTATGACAATTTGGTTTCGTGCACAATAAACCACATCACAACTATGGGTTGAATGCGATAAAAGGCTCATCACCCAGCTTCTGAGTTGCTTGATCCATTTCAAGTCCATATTCTACGATCCATTTTGTGTAACTGTAACTGCGATTCTGAATGGAGAACGAGTGGGTGGCTTACTCCATAAAGGTCTCGATTTTCTGTTCCGCAGTTCCTCCAATGCACGAACTGTACTGATCTTTCCGAGGTTACTAAATGAAAACGAGAATGCGGTCAATGTGGTGGAGGGACTCCTCGATGTATAGTTGGAGCAAAAGGTTCAAACTAAATCCGGCACAAGCGAATTTTCCATAGTGGACCTAGAAAACGCTTTTGCACCCGAAAAGAGAGAATCTCTTAGTTTTCAAATCAATGTGGCTTTGCGGCAGCTTTAGCACATTTGTGTGTTCCGTTCCCAGCGATCAGCAACCCCACTTACTGTTTGGAATTTGCGGAAGAAGTTATAGAATATTCAGAAAAAAATCAAAGCTAAACGGGAGTACATTGATTCCAGCTGTTCCAATCCGGCAACACGTGAATCATCTGCAAAAACAGGAACATGGCAAAGACATCGACAACCACTGAAGGGAGAAGGGAAGGGGCTCTATAGATCTCCATTTTGGTGCCGGCCAAGGTGTTTACCACGGTGTGATGGATCTGTTTATTAGAACGAGAATTTTGGTGGGAGCTCTTTCTTCTTTTGAGCGGAAGTACCTCAGTAGAGGCCACCTGTCGTCTGTTCAGTTTTCCCTTCTCCCTTCCATTTTTTACGCTTTTTACCATCACCAGATTAATTGTACTAGTGTGGCAAATCACAGGTATGATGATATTACATAAGGGACGCTGACGACGTGCACACATGAGAAGAAAGTTTGGTGATCAGCGCTTCTTGTGGGCGCATTTGCAGAGTATGTACAAGGTGCTTTTTGCATAATCGCCCGGGGAGAGGCTAGACATAGCTGCAGTTTTCCTGCCTTTCTTTGCATACTTCGATTTTCCTACTGGTTCGTGAATAACTCTCATTGAATACCGATCATTGGCACAGACAAGAACAAACAGAAACACATAAAGAGGAATCAACATTTGCGGCGATTTTAGCGCAGGTGCGCCCTATACATGTGCGCCTCATAATCCAGAGAATAGTGTAGTGCAGAGAAGCTGACGAGGACGACTTCGCATCACAGTTTTCCTGTACGCGAATAAGCAGAAAGACATTTGACAGTTGCAACATTTTTTGCAGGAAAGCTGGATTTAGATCTGATTCTTTTCTACAGTCTAAATCACTACGAACGAGGGGCGTGCCAAGAGGGTTGAGTCTGAGTTGCTGTCCCAAATCCATTTTCCACCAGGAAGCGAGCAAGTGACAAGACAGTATCATATCGTTCGTATCACTAGTTTCCTATCCAATGTTGTAACGACTGGCAGAGAACGGGTTCGGCGCCGTGGCACACTAATTCTGCCTGACACGACCCTTTGCGAACTGGTATATAGGTTACAACGATATTTCCTTGCTTTATCTCACGGATGAGCTTGGTCTCATGGAATCTTTCATGAAGTGAGCTTCTCGGTTCTGAACTATCACAAGGGACTGGCCCCTCAGTACCTGTGACCACGTGCACACTAGCCTTCTACGTAAAAGTTTCGAATCTTTTGTAAGTGTGTGCCATTTCAGTGCTCTTGTCAATGGGCTAGCATGCTGCTGTAACTTGACAGAAAAATGCTTCATTCCGGTTCCCTTTTCCTGGTGTAACATCAGTATCGTCACTGTTTCGTCGCACAAGAGATGCTTGGCAATACAAGTATGTCCTTGATTCCGCACTCTGCCCTTGATTCCGCACTATCTACGAACCTATTATGCTGTAAACCTCTCTTTTTTGAAAACTTGCTTTCTACTGACTCCGTTGTGGACCCAATCTCTTTGTCCCATGCTTTATCTTAAATCGTCTTAATCTCCTAGGTTAATCTACGAGATAGATAGATGATGATGAACTGATTGAGGCACTGAATCTTTCCTTTTACTTATCTGTTTTCTTTCTAAAAACACTTCCAGTATTCTCGCCTTTCTATTTAGAACCACCGCAGTGTGCTTCATAGCATGCAAGAGACCAGAAGAGCG